AGAAGTTTCCCTTTGATTGTTTTCAGCCAACTTCAAAGATTTTCTGTAGAATGTTAGGGGGTTGTATTTACCGAAATATTATGGTTCAGGGGTGATAACAAAATACACATTGCCTTCAACAAAGTCAATCGACCTAGAGAAGAGCGAATTGAAGGAACAGAAGAAGGATAAATGCCCGAAAAGCTTCCATAGACATACCATAAGAAAATAGTTTCTCCAGAATATTTATTGCTAGACAGTTTTGAGACATGCTTACTCATCTAGACATTGTCAAACAACATTTAATTAACAATTTATTGCAATTGTTTACATTCGATTTCCAAGATCATTGCCAAAGGGGGGGAGATATTTCCCCGGCAATTTATAGCTAGACTGTTTTCACAATTTGCTGATTGGTTAGTAAATGTAAAAAAATGCCAACTTGCATCGCCTAATACACGAGGAATCATCATAAGTAATAAATAAAAATTATATGATGAAAATAAAATAATAATTAAAAATTCCTTAGACATNCAACGGAGAAAAATGCCAAGATGGGATAAATTAATATATTTTTTCGTACATAATCGGTTATCCGAAACATTGATCTTCCGAACAACCCCAGTCCCCAATTGATTCGGATAATTGACGCTCTACTGTACTTTAATTGTATATCATAGAAAGTCCTCTCAGCAGGTAGCTTTTAGTTGATCCATGTCTGTTGTTGTGTTGTATGATTTGCTATCCTTGTATTGCTTTGTACATATTTGCTACAATATATTTCTTTTGGCTATTTTCAGCATGTATCACCTAACTGTATTAGTATAGTATCACCTTTTTTACTGTGTATGTTATGCTAATGGGTATTGCTCTGTCTAATGTTACTGTAGTATAATTCTTTCGTTTTTACTGTTGCTTGCTTGTATTATGTACATTGCATTTTGTAGGAATGGGGCTGTTTTCTACTTTTGGCATACAAACCCATTGTTTGATATCACCAACTACTATCTTGTACTATTTATTATCTTGTCAAATACTACAGTGTTTTGTCAATGCATTGTCTGTATGGATAACCATTCAACACTCATCTTGCTTTGTTTTTAACACTTAAGCTTTTGTAAATATTATATCACCTACTGTCATGTCACAAAAACCCTTGTACTTCACTCTTTGTATCATTTAACTATATTTGTATTTTGTTTCTTTATTATAAATGTGATGCAGATGCCTCAGGGATCCCATGGATCCTAAGGTAACTCTTTTCTCTCTTTTCTATCTCACTTTATTTTCCCCTTTCCTCTTACCTCTTCAACTTTACTTATTTCTTTTGATTCAACAATACTTGGGTTATACCTGTGTGTGTGGCCCTTTAACCTTTCTAACAATGATGTCTGTTGTATTGCCTTATTCCATCACAGTTTTTTTTTTTCACTAGTTTCCTTACGATCTTCAGAATTTTGCCATCTGGATGGGGGAAATTCCTAATTTCTTTCTCGTTTTTGAAGTTATTTTAAATGTAGTTAAGAGTTAGATAGAGAAAAGAATTTAACACGAGTTAAATAAATTCTTAAACTATTCTAAAAATAAGGAAAAAAAATGTACAGTATACTATCAATATGATCAGGACTATAGGATTGATAACAACTGAGTATTTTTGTGCTCTGTTACTCTAAGTATTTTTCTTATTTTACATTTATGTGAGTTTTAAAAACAATTTCTGAATTATAAAAGAGCAACCACACACTGGGTTGTATATATCAAAATATGACCTACTTGAACCTATAACCGGTGTGTACAGAGTTCAATCTTCCAAAATGAATGTTTTCTTAATGTATGAGGATGTGTCATATGCCTTAAAAATTTCCATCTCCTCTGACCATTTCAGGTGGTCAATGCGCGGTGTGGTAACAATTAATTGCGCTCTAGTGAAGTCCACCACAATTTCAGGATCAGTGGCATAAGTGGAGAGTGAGGTGGTGCTTCTATTGCATTGTATATCAGAGATATGCTCTTTTAACCTAACCCCCAACGAACATTTAGTCAATTCTGTGTATACCAACTCCCTGTTAAACTGGTTATCCCTAAGCGACACTGTATAGATGCCTGATAATCTTTCCAACGGAAAAGACCGATCCAGTATGGATCGGTCTTTTCCGTTACGTAAGATGTCGAACAAAGTACTACATCTCCTGTATGTCAGGGTAACCTTTTGTTTTTTTGTGATGGTGCTGTATAAAGAACTCAAGATGGGGTTGAACATAAGAGGTATCCTTACATTTTCCATCCTCGTGTTACCAGTTTGCGTCACTACTGTAATGGTGGAAGAAGCCTGCACCTGTTTATGGCACTCTGAAACTTTTTGTATGATGTTGCAGTAACCATGGGACCTGGCAATGTCTTCCAAGTATTTTAACTCTTCTGCGAGCACCTGTTGCATAGAAGAGTGGGTGTAGGCTTGTTTAATCAATGCCCTGAAGGTTGCCATCTTGTATTGGAAAGGATCACACGAGCTTATTGGTATGTGTGTGGATATACTAGATGGTTTGCAATAAACATATGTGCGTATGATGGAATCTTCAAATCTGATATCCAAATTGAGGAAATGGACTCTGCTGCTACTATGTTGCTCTATTTCAAGGGACAGCCCATAGGGATTGTCGTTCATTTTGCTTAGAAAATATGTTAGGTTGAGAGTTATCCTCCATAAGATGATAATGCCATCGACATACCTTTTGTCCTGGAGGAAGTTAGGCAGTGTCCTGCTCTCCAATTGCCTAATAACCAGCTCTCACAGTTCCGAGGGGTGATGTATTCATAAACCAGAGGTGTCCCCCATGGGCAGTTCAATCTCCAGGGATTTGTGTTCGACATCTTACGTAACGGAAAAGATCGATTCAGTATGGAGAGATTATCAGGCATCTATACAGTCCCACTTAGGGATAACCAGTTTAACAGGGAGTTGGTATCCACAGAATCGACTAAACGTTCATTGGGGGTTAGGTTAAGAGAGCATATCTCTGATATACAATGCAATAGAAGCACCACCTCACTCTCCACTTATGCCACTGGTCCTGAAATTGTGGTGGACTTCACTAGAGCGCAATTAATTGTTACCACACCGCGCATTGACCATCTGAAATGGTTAGAGGAGATGGAAATTTTTAAGGCGTATGACACGTCCTTATGCATTAATACAAGAGAAGATATTTGCCTTTTCACGGCATGGCAGAACTTACTGCATACGGAGTGATAGCATTATACTATTTATTATGTGGTAAAGAATAATTAAAAAATTACTGGGGAACATGTGAGATCATTATTAATTATTTATCTCACTCTCATGTATGTTAGGTATTTTGATATAACTTTCTCTTGCGTTTGGACATTATCGTTAAGTTCGAGCACTTTCAAACTCAACAGCGTTCAGATTTGTTCAAATTTTTCGTATTCATGTTCAATCCAGCTGATTTACCTGAAGAAGAACCCAGAAGGGGTTAAGAAAACGTTCGTTTTGGAAGATTAAACTCTGTATGCACCGGTTATAGATTCAAGTAGGTCATATTTTGCAATTTCTGAATATCACTGTAAAAACAATGATTTTATATTTTTCTTTCTCGAAAAAGAAATTTTAAAAATAATATATTTCTAAACACTTCATAATGTATTGCATAACTTTAAATATTATGTAATTTCAATATATTTTCCTAAATTTAAGGATTTTGCATTTAATAGTGTAATGGAATTTCAAGAGAAAATTAAGTTCATTAATTAAATAAAAAATGCTTTAATATTGAACTCAGCTAATTTCGGTTTAATTCCAAAAGGGAAAAACTTTTGAAATTAATTTAAGTTTTATTAGAGCAAATAGATCATAAATTTTAATCAAAATAGAAAAAAATTGCATGAGGATGCATTTTTCCCCTTTTAAACGCCTCTTTCAAAAATAATTAGTGTAATTATTTTGTGAGCTTCCTTAATGTTTTCCTGGCTGTTATATATAACAGAGAGATAGTAAGGCAATTGGTTAAAAAATAATCCCTCAATATTTTTATATTTTTGGATTTGAGGACACATTGATATGTTGAGAAATACAAAAAAGTTCAGGGGTAATTTCTGTATATATGAATGTTGTATGTGTGTGGGGGGGCACAGTTCTGTTCACTCTGTTTGAAGCTTAATAACTCCTGTGCTTTTTTAAAATTTCTGAAATTTTGGAGGGAAGTTCGTTTATTAGGGGGATTGATGCTGTTAAATTTTAGTGGTTAAAGGTTAATGGGGTGAAGAGATAAATGGGGTCATGTGTATCTCCAGTAGGGTTGGACTTAATGACAATTTTATTCATTATTAGCATTTACAATTTTTTACAAAACTCATTCCTACCCTAAAAATTGAGCTTTTTGATGTTTTATAACAGCTAAAAATATAAAACGTTTTTTTAATAAAATATGATAACACCACCACAAATTTTAAATGTTGCCGAGAAAGTTGTGCAACTCATTGCTGATTTATTATATTCTATTTCATAAATTAGCATGATCCCTTATAGTTTTGGTGCCCTCAATCTTCTAAATTTTTTTCTGTGGCCTTCCTGAAATGTTTTGTGGCTCCTGTTTATAACTACTGCTATAGAAGATTAATAATAAGAATATTTTATTTTAGGAATGAAGCATTAGTTTTTGAAATAATTTTACTTATTCATTATATTAAAGACAATATACATATAATTCTGAAATATAGATTTATAATCTTCAATATTTATAGTTAAAAAATTTTCAAAGGCTTAAATGAAGAAAGGTATGAATAGAAGATATATCTTCTATTCATACCTTTCTTCATTTAAGCCATTTCATTTCATTTTATTGAGAGAGAATAAAAAAATAGTTTAATATGCAGAAACATAAACTTACTAAATTAATTATTTAATTAATTAAATTTGGAAATTATATTATTATTATTATTTTTAAAAATGTAAAATATTCTATATAATTTCATTTAATTAAATTTTTGCAAAATTTATTTAGTTCTTCATCATTCTCTTTATGATCTTCATAACAATGCTCGTTGGAGGAATTCTTGCCTATGTCTTCAGAAATGAGGTATGTTGTTCAATTTAGTTTTTTCTAGTTACAACAGATATATTTTAAATTTAACTCTCATAATTTTTTAATTTATTTTATCAAGAAAAAATTTGTTATTCCTATTCAAAGAAAAAATTCAATTTATTAAAGTTTGAATACATTCTTAAATAACATTGAAATGAAATAATATGAACTTTTATATTTACTGTTTTAACTATTGAATATGTTCAGCATTTTCTTTAAATACATATATTCTTATTTTCATGAATATTTAATGTCAAATAAATTCAAATTGATAATATTTCTTGTTAATTGATGTATATTTGACAGATGAATGTGTGATGAAGATTTAAGTGAAAAATTCATTTGTTAAACGTTGATTTAACTGATGCTATTCATATTTGTAATTATTTGTTATGATAGTATTAACACATCATTATTTTGAAAAAAGAAAACACTGTTTCAGATTATTAGTTATACAGTAGAGTTTCGAAAACTCGGCACTCGATAACCCAGCAGTCCGGATAACTCGGCCACACCCTGGCAGGGCAAAAAAATCCTTAGTTAATTAATTTTCATTACAGACAGCCTTATGCCTCATAAAATATTTTTCTGAGGTCTGTCTTATCAGGTAAATTACTGTACACAGTGTATTCATTAATTTTCATTTTCACGTAGTAAAGGCTCTATGCCTTCATAAAGTTCGTACTTTTCCTTTGTTTAAGGGTATTTGGGCAGTTTATTTTCTGTTGTATATTCAAGCAAACAATACATACAAGTACAGTACAGTATTTTCTGAGGAAACACTCATACTTATTTTTTTTTAACCCCATTCCCGATAACCCGGCATTTTCACAAACTTGGCCACCCTTTGGTCCACATTAGGCCGAGTTTTTGAGACTCTACTGTAATGCTAAAAAATAATTTGATAAATTGTATCATATGGGAATGTATTTTAGAGATGGACAAATTAAGTTCTTTGAATAGTCATTATGCAGAATACATTTTGAGTCTAGACGCCACTTCAGCTGCAGATTATTTCATAAGGTAACAATGGTTCTGAGCAATTCAAAGGAATACATAAATATTTTTAAAAATAATTGTTCATAAATACTATTGAATTATTTATATACTGTACAAGTATGTTGAGATTAATGAAATATGTAAAATTCAAATAAAGTAATTTAAGAAAAGGTAGGTAATTGCTACCTGGAGTTTTTAAAAAAGATTATTAATTTAAAAAGAGATTGTAAAATAAATTGATGAATTGAATAAATATAAAATTGATGGCTTATAAATTTTTTAGGATAAAAGTATAAAAATCTAAAATAAAAAAGTTAAAAAAAATCTAATAAAGGAGTATATAATTTTAGTTCCTTTTAAATTTTCATTAGTGTAAAAAATTTTTTTATATTAAAGTATAAATTTAGATTGAATTATTTAGCTAATAAATAAATAGCTGTAATAAATTGATTCACATATTAGGGATAATAAGCCCTCCAATTTATTACAACCTTATTTATTAGGCTAAATAATTCAATCTAAATTAAAGTTGTGGGCTAGCAGCATTATTTAATATTAAACTATAAAAATGAAATTTAGCTAAAAACAATATAAGAATGTTAAAATGTGTAACTTTTTCTATACTTGTTATAAAGTAAGAAAAAACAGGATATAAAGCAAAAGCATTATATAAGGGGCTTTTCCTCATTTTACTTTAATGGACTCTTCTGAGCCTAAATCAACACACATTGCCAAATCTCACTTAAAAATCATCATTTAAATTGATTTTATAATTTTTAAATGTTCATAAAGTTTTTTTTATAACATTTCTTTCTTTCAATAAAATTTAAACATTAGTAAGATCTTACTAAACAGTTTAAATTATATGATTTAAGAAATATATTTAGACAAGTACTTTATTTTGATGTTTTTTATTAAAGCCTGTCTTGTTAGAGTACAAGTTAATACATTAGAAATAAAAATTACAAATATTTAGCAATTAATAAAATGTTTAAAAAAAATACATGTCAAATATATCTTGTAAATTATATATATATAAACCAAAATCTTAAATTTGATTTTTAATTATTTGAAGATTTGAACACTCGGTATTTACATTTTTATATGTAAAATTAAGTTTTACTGAAAATTTTAAAGTAATAATGAAACAGTAAAAACTTTATTTTATTATGCTTTTTAGGTAGAGAATAGAATGCGTACAGAGATGATCATGACCATTCCATTGTACGACAATGATACAGCAGTAACTGATGCTTGGAATGCCGTTCAGTCTCAGGTAAACAAATTAGAATCAATGTGAGTTTTATTGATAAACTGTAATTTAGAGATAAGAGTCCATTATTGAAATTACTGAAATGACTTAAAATTTTTTTATTAACTCAGAATTTCATGTTTAAAATAATTTAAATATTAAATAATCTATTAAATATTCAGTTAACACGTTAACTGCCAGCTGAACCCTGCGTGAGTCACTAGGAATGGTGCCCTTATTTGAGTTGCATGGGTCTTTCAGACCCAATGTTTTTAATATGAAATAATTCAATTTTATCTATTGCATAAAGTACAATTTCTTTGTTGGATTCTGCACTTTGTTTTCTATCTAGTGATATAAATTACTTGCGTATTGACAAAATTAATTTTTTAATATTTATTTTTACGTAATTTGATATGAAAAACGCAAAAAAATAAACATATCAAATTTCAACTTGCTGTAATTTATCTCCTGTTTCACCAATTGCCATCAGGTTTGTTTGTAAGTGGGAAGAAATATGACACTTTCAAGCGAAGTGAGTAGAAATTTCGCACTACTCAGAGAAAATTTGTCAACAGACTCGCATTACCCCCTACTGCGAAAGTCAATAAACGTTCATCGTTTTATGACTATTTTCAACACTTTTCTTCTGAGTTGTAAATCGCCTAATTGTCAAAGATTTTACTTCATTTTACTCATAAGAATGTTGTCTTTATGATTTAATAGATAGTTTTGTAAGATTTTTAGACATAAATTTTATTTTCAATATTTTATTTTATATAGTCGTGTGTTAGGCTTAACTCAATTACCTATTTTCAAAAATTGACATCGTTCAAAATATTATGGAATCCATCAAAATTATTTTCTGATAGTTTAGTTATAAATGTTTTCTCTGCATGAAATGAAGAGATTGAAAAAATATGGGTGGACCATCAAAAATTCGGCAATTTACGACATGTTCTCGATTCTGTAATTTGTTTTCTTCATAATATAAAATCTTTACAAAGTAATACTTAAAAAATACATCCATGTCAATACCTGAATGTTATAAAAATGCAATTATCAAAAATTTTGTAATTTTCACAATTTGTATTGTCATAATTTATTTTTGTTTTTTTCTGTCGCGCGTTGCGTATTGCGCGACAACAAAGTCGTAACGCGATTAAACGCAGCGATTTCATTTATAATTACTTAAAATGTAGTTTACGTTCTTGTTTTAGTTTTGTTTTGTTGTTTAGCGATGGAAAATAAATAGATAATAATTGCAGATAACAATTTAAAGTATTTTTATCAGATTAATTTAGATTATTTGATTTTACAATAATGATAGCTATGCGATATGATTGTCGCATAGTTGTAATTTTTCACTTTATATCTAATTAGCTCTCATAATGTTTAGGGGCTAATTAGCTAACNGAACAGTGTTCTTCATTGTCTTGCTAGTTAACAATTTTTTTTTTTCTTTTAATATGAACTTTCTGTAATTATATTTGACAATCTAAAATTTGTATTATAGCAATGAACCTTTTATTTTTACAAAAACAGCTCTTTGATACAGTCAACAGTTAGGCTCATCTTTATTATATCATACTGTGACATAAAATTCTCATAAATTACTAGTTGTTTCTGGATGATTTTCTTAAAACTTATTGATGCTTATGGATGCATCAAATTTTCTGATTTTAATAAAATTTATATAAAAATCACCCTTGGACCTAGATTAGTAATATCTATATCTCATTGATATTAGCAACATGTCCTTTGTTGTATATTGAGCTTAGTTTGAATATTGGACCTATTTTGTGTCTAATACAGTGATACTTCAGTATACATCCAATTCAAAATGCGTCCTGTTTGGATGAAACAAATTTTGCTCAGTATACAACTTAATTCAATTATACACGCCATCTATGAACAAGTAGCTGTCTCGGTGTATTAGACCAGACTAGATGTGCACGGTGCCACAGTTTATAACTTTGTTAAATTTCTTCTGATTTGTAAGTAAAATTTCTTCTAATTTGTAAGTAAAATTTTATTGCTTTTATTAATCATGAATTGCAAAAAAGGCAAATGAAAATCAACAGAAAACTAAAAAAATGACTAGAATCACAATGGAACTGAAAAAGATTGTTGAGAAATATGAAGGTGGTATGCATGTTCGTGATTTAACTGTTGCATACCGTATTCCGAGAACAATGATATCGACAATCGTGAAAAATAAAGACATTATTAAATCTGCTGACGTTGCGAAAGGGGTTAAATCAATTTCTAAACAGAGATTGAAGACATTAGATCATGTTAAGAAATTACTTTTGTTTTGGATAACTGAAAAACAGTGTGCTGGCAACAGCGTATCAGAAGCAATTATTTACGAGAAAACTAAAAAGATACATGCTGATCTCATGAAAAATCAAGCAGGAACTAGCCAGGAAAGTGAGGTGTTTAAAGCCAGCCATTTTTTTGTATATGAGAACAGATTAATCATTTTTACATTACATCTCATGGGAAAGGTTGGTTTGGTATGTCCTATTTGGTATAAGTCCAAACATCAGAAACCCTTTAAGGTCATATACTGAGGTTCCACTGTATAGTTGTTGCATATATTTCATTTTAAAAAACAAACATTAAAGAAATAAGGTATGCAGAAGATCTGTTATATTTTATCATTTATTCAAAAATAAGCCAAGTGACCAAATAATAAAATTGAAAAAAAATGAAATAGGACAGGCAAGACATATATATAAAAAAACTGAGGTTTTTTCTTTTTTTTATTTAGAAGGGGAAATCTATGGTAATTTGTTTTTGTCCAATGTAATTGTTTGATTGTCTCCTTTACATTTGTCCAAAGAAATTGATGAATTTATTTTATGTGATAAACTTTTGTTCTTTTCCAGTTGCTATCATTTTATTGTGCCAGTACAAATAATTGATAAAAAATTTTAGACAAACTGCTTTCTTTACAATATATTTTTTTTTCATTTAAAAAAAAATAACACCAAGAAAGCAAAGCTTTGTTCTGAAGATGCTTAAATTTTTTATCAATTAGTGCTGCTTGTTCTTGCACAATTTTATTGTCTTACATTAAAAGAAAAATATGTAAATAGACTAATTAGAAATAGTGTAATATTCTAAAATATTTCATTGCTTTTAATATATATATATATGTGTGCACGAGTGCACACAAGGTTGTTTGTTTGTTCACTATACACTCACTCTGAGACCATTTGACCAATTGCTACAAAACTAGGCAGTTACGTTCACATACTTCTAACTTAGATAATGTTGAATATCCAATCCCAAAATATCAACTGGATTTCTATAAATCAGTTTCTATCTACATTAGATTCACTGACTTTATACATATTGGAAAAAATTTAAGAAAATATCAAACTTAATATAGTTCTTATAAAACAGATTATCATCATCATCTTTGGACTTAGTCCCGTTTAACAGCGGGGTCGGCACATCTGGATTTTATTTTGAATCTCCATTTGGCCCGATCATGGGCCTGGTCTGGGTATAGGCTTGCAGGTCGTGATGTAGCGTGTCCAGCCAACGCTGCCTTGGGCAGGACCCAGGTACCTCCAAATTTAGGTCCATGTGAATGATGAAGTTGGCGTCAGCACGGAGCATATGGTCATAAAGGTGCAGGTGCCACTTGCGCGCTTTTTCATTGATCTCAGCAATGGCATACTGGGCTCTGATGTCTACGTTGAGTACTCGATTAAGTCTGGGAAGGCCGCTTATTCAACGCAACATCCTAGTCTCTGTAGTAGCAAGTCGGCGGTCGACGACCTTCGTAGTTGGCCTGCACACGGCCCCATACAGTGCGACAGGTTGGACGATGGTTTGATAAATCTTTGACTTAAGTTGGTCCTTGATGCGTCAGTTGCACAGCACACTTGTTATTGAGTGCCACTTCAGCCAGGCGGCATTGACACGTGTAACTGCCTCATGGTACAAGTCTCCGTCAGTTATAAAACAGATTATAATTTTAAAAAATATATATATTATATTCACTTAATTACTACAACAATGATATAGTGTGAAATAGATGCTCTATATTATTATTGCAACAGGTAGCATATAGCACTTGCCTGCATGAAATTGAAAATATTTTACCCTGTGAAAAGTCTATAATCATTTAATTTTCCACATCTAACAAATCGGGTTTTTGTCATTTTTGAATGGTACTTTCTTAACTCTAATTCTAATAAGTGCCCTCCACTGGCCATATGGAGTTTTCCAGATTTTCTTTGTTAGTAACACCTGGTCACTGGTGGGCCCACAAATGGCCAGGCAGTTCAGTTTCGTTCCCTGAACACTGGCAGTTCGATCAATGGGTTTGCGACTTGCCAAGACGGGCTGGCAATGTGGAATTTTTCAGGTTTTCTCCCTGTTTTTAATGCCTAAATAGAGGCCAGTTACCCTTAAAAGACCTTCCAGAAGGCATCCGCGAGGCAGATTGCCAATGTGTTGCATTGATGTAATCAAATAAACCAAACTAATTCTAACGAGTGATTATTATTGTGACATCATGACAATGCCGAGCTTCAATTTTTTTGTCACAATGTTCTCAATTTTTTAGCGATGTATTGCCCCTGTACATCACACTTTCCCTTTTAGCAACAGAGTCGTGTCGGTCATCTATCTGACTCCATTCAGGAGAAAATTTTTGAATTGAAGTAACATGATTTTCATTCCAAACCAGAATTTTTTATATAGTTAAGCTGGGCCTCCTGCCTTTAAGCTTTCCACATCTCCTCTGGACTTTCATCTAACTAACTCCTTTCTTGAGATTTAAGAAAGGACAGACAGTAGGCAGACGACAGTCAGAATTTATAGGTCTACAATTTTTTCAAATTGCAGCTCAATAATTTTCTATAAATTCAATATTCTTGATAATATACTTTCTACTTAGTTTATACAATCTGCTACAAAAATATAAACACTTTACCATCCCATAAAAACAATTATTCTGGCATTTTTATAAGAATTTTTATTTAAACAAGTCATATGAAGTCATTTGAATGTAAGGTTAGCAACTTTGATTACATGCAAGATCATCACAACCTATCCAGCATAGATCACTTTTCAAATATTAATAGTAGAACAGTATTAATTAGTAATCGTTCACCATTCTGCCTTTCAGGAGGAGGTCAGTGACTACTTTTGGTCGAATTACTTTGGTCCCCCGCTGCAACATTCCCCTCTTTCTATCAGACCAGTGGTATGGTGGCATTTGAATAGGAAAATTACAAGGTTACCAACCTGCACAAAATGTTTTAAGTGGTTTTGAGGCTGACACACAAATATTTGGTTTGTTTTTTGCAGAATTTGATATTTGGCTGTTAATAGTAAAATTTCTAGGGTTAACCTTAGGAAAAAATATATCTTAAAATATTCAATATTGTATTTTCAATTGGTGTCTTCTTGACCAATAAAATTGTGCATTGTACCATCTGAGTATCGCAATAAACGTGGCAATAGTAGGCTGAAATAACCAAACCCTTTATATAATTTTTGTCTTAATGTTTGTTATATTATAGTATTGATATTTATTTATATAACTACAAAGATTATCTTACGTAAGGGTTTATCACATCGAGTGATCAATGTAACACAGTTTAAAATTCCTTTATTCCTCTAATGTGCACAATTTAAAGAATTTTTTAAATGCGTTAATTGGTCACTCGGTGTGATAAACTCGTACGTAAGATAACCTTTGTAAATATAATTCAAATACTTTAATATAATAGAATAATACAATAGAAGGATTAGAAGTATGAAATAATCTAATAATCTTAATATTTGCTGTTATTATTGTTTGCTGGATCAACGTTGTGCTCATCTGCTAGTTATATATACTGTATATATATTAAAAGAAAATCTATATTCTGAAGCTCTTCTGGTGCCTAAAAAAATATGAAAATTTCAATTAAACATTAACTTATTTATTTACTTTTTTAAGTAGAAGTTGTGAAAATTTCACTATCTTTCCAAAAGTTTAAATTGAAATGAATGCTTAATTAGTGAATAATACAATGAGATGTTACACTGCTTGGAAAGAAGTAAATCATACAAAACTATTTTTAAAATAGTTTATAAGCAAAATAATAGTATAGGAAGAATTTCTACACCTTTTTATATTTCGATAGTGTATCGAGATAGGCCTACATCATGATGATAGCTAAATATACAAATATCTATCATCATTGTGTATGATAAAAATGGAAGAAATAATCACGTAAGAAGAGAATGCAATGTAATTATTGAAACTATAAAACTTTCAGCTTTTAGCAACGGTAGGTAGAAATACTTCAATGAATCAAACAAAATTAAATTAATTTTTAATATTAGATTTTCTGTCCAGATATGTCAGGCCCCGTCCCTCACCACCCAGCTGGCCCATTGTAGGCCTGGCCGAACCCATAATGGGCTTGCTAAAAGAGGTTCTCTTAGTGCCCACAGGGTGGAAAGAGTTTAAATAAAAAAGTATTACATTTTTACTGAACACTATCTGAAGTTAATAAACATTACAATTTAAATTTTTTTTAACTTCAAATATTGAAGAATTTTCTAATAAAAAATTCAGCATTTATGATATATGTTGATGAGTTTGTATAAAATGAAAAGTTATAGTTTGATCTGTAAATAATATCAGTGTGTCTGAGAAATTTTGATAGTTAAAAATTTATCTGCATGATAACATGCTGCTGAAGTTAGTGAATATAGGAGAATCAGTTTGAAAATTTATTCAGGTTTTGCAAATGTCAAATGAGGCATAAAATTATTTATTAAATTTAAACATTAAATAGACAAATATTACTAGATAATGAAGTAAATTAATAAATTACTTGGAATATTTGAAAGATATACTAACAAGTAAGTATATCTTAGTACATATAAAAATCTGTACATTTGCAATATTTACTGTTACATTTTGATGTAAAGAAATAAAAAATGTTTAATTATCTATTGACAGATAATCATAAGTGAAATATCTTCATATTTCTTGAGAAAATAAATATCTTATTTTATTCATTAAGTAATATAAAATTTTATGTGTAATATTTGATCTATTGCTAGTGAGATGATGATGTACAAGCTGATTTTAATTTGTGTTGTAAATCACTATTTACATTTAATTCAAAGTGTGTTTAATGTTGTTTTACTGTTTTGCTAAGTCAATTGTTGTTCTGTTTACTAGATTGCAAGTTTGATCTCTTATTGCATGTAGATTTATTAGTTTTAAATGATGATGCCTTTTTATGAGAAGTATCATTAATATTTATAATATAATATGGTAAAATATTCAAGCTAGAACTTGATATTATCATTTATAGTGCCAAATATGATGATGATTTGTTGGAAGTCATTAATATATCTGATATTGAAAGACATAATTTATCAACAACATAGCTCCTTTTTATTCTTATTTAAGTAAATGTTTCAGAAATCTACTGCAATAAACTTAACTTTACTATTAAAAATTTTATAATAACGAAGAAATTAGTCTATAAATCATTCCATGCAAAAAAATCATCCAAAATAGTAATTAAAAATTGCACTAAATGATTTAAATAAATAATAATTTATTTTATTTATAATAGTTTAAATGCTGTGGTATTGATGAGGATGGAGAAGAGGGATACAGCGTTTGGGCCAAAAAAAATAGTAAGTTTTCTGGTGAAAAGAAAGTACCTGCAAGTTGCTGCAAGTCTAAAGATAAAACAGAAATTAATAAATGTCAAGATTCTCCAAATGAAAATGACGCTTATTTAGAAGTAAGTTGTATCTTATATTAATTTATAATCTTGTTATTAACTTCAAAAAAGTTTTCTTTTATATTTTGATGTGAATTTTACTATTAATTCTAAAAGTAGCTTCCCTTAATAAGAGAGAGATGTATTTTTCTGTATAATTTTAATTTTGAAAACAGATAATCATTTTTCTTGTGTGAAGTCAAAAACAAAAATAAAATATTGTTGTTATTAATGTATATCTGCATATCAATACTAACATGTTGATGATGTACAGTACAGTACATATACATCGTGTAATTCTCTCTTATGCTATTCATTAATCTACTGCATTTACATCTATATTATTGTGTGCTTAACATTCAGTTTGATTTTGCATTTTTTGAAAAATACTAGAATTATATTATGTCTTTATTACTAATCAATAACTTCATGTAGAAATTTAGCATATTTTTGATTTAATAACAATTCTTTAAATGTGACTTTCTATAATCTGTCAACATTTTTTAAAATTTGACAAATCCATTAAGAAATTTCATAAAATAATTTGGAAAAATAATGTAATTTTCAAATTGCATAATTTTATTCCATTTCAAAACAAAATGGATAGTATTAGTTAATTTTACATGCAATATGATAGCACCAGTTTTCTGTTTTCTATAGAATTTCATTTTAATACAGTTTATCTTCATGTTTAAGAAAATGATAAATTCAAGAAAATTATTTTAGTGTAACTTTATTATAAACTTTGAAAAATATTTTTAGTTTAATATATAGATATATATGTTTTATTTGAATAATAGCTGCAACTGCATATTTTCTCTGTGGTTATTCTTTTCTCTGCATATACTGATTGCCTATTATCAATAAGATATTTAAATATTTAAAAAATCAAACTTTTGTAAACAAACAAATTATAATTGTAATAGTAACTGGTATCTTTCCTTCTATATATCAGTAATGTCATTCTAAAGTAACAATGAAAGCTATACAATAGATATATTTTTTAATTTTGTACATTTTACATATTTCATTTTCTATGTTTGTTTGCTAAATAAACATTATACCTACCTACCATAGTTTATGGTATTTATTATTTTACATTGTTTCCCTGTGTTTTCAGAAATCCTTTTACAGTATCTGCAGCTATTATTTGAGGGCAGTTATTATTTCAACCTTTATGGATGAGATGTGGTTACTATTTGAAAGCTGTTATTATTCAAATAAAATTGGTAATTGGAAACATGTAAAGCTAAAAAATTTTGAATTATATAAACAATTATAGTTAGTTCAACATTAATTATACAATAATTATTTTTAATGCGTAAGTAAAATCAAGGATAGTTAATTTAAAACAGTTGGTACTGTGAGATCAGCCAGGACGTAGATCTTAGTCTACGACACTTACGGCGCGCGATCGTGAGATCGGCTCTTGTAACTTTTTATAGGAGGGCGGTAATATTTAGGAAAAGGGGATTCAAGACTGTGAAGTCTTTATCCCAAATTGTCAGGGTCCCGACACCAGTTAATCAATCTTATTATACGCGGATTAACACGCGTATGCGATCTGATCCAGTCACGCAATTAGAAGACATTTTTAATTAAAACGAAATAATAAGTTTAATAAAACAAGAAAATAAATCATACAAAAATCTCAATGAACGAGAGATAGAACTACTACAACTAATATACAAATCAGGAGATAATTAAACTTATATTCTACCCTATTCGCTATCGAGAGAGAGAGCTCACAAAACGTTATAAAACATACGACCTGTTTAGTTGTCGTTCGTCTTCTTCTCTGTAGGTAAGGGACACTTTGTAGATAAAGTTCATTACTTCTTCGTATGGGAGATCACTATGTGCACAAATATAAAAGTATCACTTCTATGTGCAGACTCTAGACTTATTCTGTATGTGATTCGTCTAAGGGCGTTGGTCATCCGGAGGGAAACGTATGTGGAGTTTGTATGTTTTCGGATCTGTCGCTGAACTCCCCGAAATTTGACAAGTTCCCTGTATATCTTCTGAATACCGACCAATCATCGGCCAGTAACTCTTTCTTGAGAACGGATGAAAGGGGAATGAATGAGGGGTAACCATTTCCCATCTGAGCAGGATTTTTAACCAGATAAGGGAAAGTCAGAGGATGTTCTCTTCTGTGAAAGGAAGTAACATCTGTTATCTGTTTTTTCCCAACCTAAAACAGTATTTTTCTCACCAAAAATGAAGTAATATTTGGTGACATTATTTTAACATTATTAATAAAATATTAAGTTAGACCCAGGGCTCTTTCGGGTCTCACAGTACAAAACTTAATTGTATAATGTTTACTGAATTTGATATCAATTAATATACAGTAATATTTAATGTATAATTTTAATGCATTTAAAATATTTTCTTATCAAATAAATATTTGAATTATTTTTTCAGAGTTGTTATGGTGCTGTTAGAGATTTTGTCAGAGACCATGCATTAGTGGTAGGTGGAATTGGCATTGGAATTGCATGTATCTTGGTAAGTCCTTTCATTAATGGAAACAATTTTAGCTATTGCATAAAGATTCAACATAAAATAATTAGCAATGTTTTGAATCTATGTTATTTTATAAGCAATATATTCTTTACTAATGTCTTTAAATTACACATTTTTCTTTTATTAAAGTATGTTTTAAAGAACAGTAAAATTATTTATCATATTATGGATGGATAAATTAGATCAAATTCTCTGTTATGGTTTAATTTTCAAATTAGTTTTTTTGCACTATTATAATTTTTATACAAGCACATTAAAACAAGTAACACAGAAAAAAAATCATATAATAAACATTTATAAGTTATTAACTTTTATTTCAAATACAGTGAAGATCAAATGTCTGGATTTGGCTGTTGAAAAATGGATAACTCTTTCAATTGGTAATTTCATTGTTGATGTTTTAACATTTACTCAGAATTTGTAATTTTGAAATTATGATATATTTCAAAATTACACTAAATAATACACTAAAGATTCAAAATACAATTTACAGAATTAACTAAGTATTTACATTTGAAATACTATTTTGAACTTAGAACACCTAATCTTGATTTATAATATATTTGGAGCTACAGTACATAAAATTTTAATTTATATGTATACCAGCAAATGAGCTTGGGGTTGCCTGGCAAAAAGTAACAAAAACAACAAAGATTAAGATTAAAAGTATGAAATAATCTAATAGATTATTTTATATTCTAACCCTTCTATAATACTATATTATAGTATTTGATTTATATAACTACAAGGTTATCTTAGGTGAGGGTTTATCACACTAAGTGACCAATCTAACACATTTTAAAAATACTTTATTCCTCTACTGTAAACAATTTAAAGAATTTTTAAAATGTGTTAGATTGGTCACTTAGTGTGATAAACCCTCACCTAAGATAACCTTTGTAGTTATATAAATTAAATACTATATTATAACACATGTAAAACGAAAACCATATAAAGAGTTTGGTTATTTCAGTCTGCCATTGTCGTGTTTATCACGATACTTGGATGTTACAAAATGGCACAATTTCATTGGTCAAGTAAATAAATAAAAACTTAAGATGTCACATTTTCAATTGGTAAGACATGTTTTCCTAATATTAACTCTATGAAACTGTACCATTTACAGCTGAATATCAAATGGTATGCCATATGAATATCTGCCAACAGACCAAATATTTAAAGTCTGCACTCTCAAAGACCATTTAAATCATATTTTATGCTTGCCAATATGCTTGTTGTGGAAGGGAGTTGAAGTAATTCCAACAAAATTAGTTGTCGACCTTCTCCTGGAAGAAAGGATGATCAACGACTACTAATTAATACTGGCTAACTATTAATATTTGGAAAGTGATCTGTGTTAGATAGGTTGTGATGTTGATCGAAGTTGCCAACCTTAAAGTCTGAAAGACTTGATATGACTTCTTTAAATAAAAAAAGTATTGTAAAAATGTAAGAATAATTGCTTTATATAAAGTGTTTATCTAATAAATCTGTTGCAAAAAAGATAATAAACTACATGGGAAGTATGTTCTCATAAATATTGCATTTATAGAAAAATTATTGGGTTGCAATTTGAAAAAATTGTAGCCTATAAATTCTGACTGTCATCTGCCTGTCCATCCTCAATCTCAAGAAAGGTGTTAGATAGATGAAAGTTGATACCAGATGTGGAAAGCTTATGGGCAGGAGAGACAGATTAACTATATACAAACCTTCAAATTAAAGTGGAAGTCAAATTACTTCAATTCAAAATTTTTCTCTGAAAGGAGTTAGATAACTGACATAACTCTATTGCTAACAGGAAAAGTATGATGTATAGAGACAAGACACTGCTAAAAGAATTGAGAACATTGTGATGAAATATTGCAGCCTGGCATTGTGATGATGTCACAATAAATAATCGCTCATTAGAATTAGTTTGGTTTATTTGGTTATGGCAATGCAAAATGTGAGTGAGTCTGCTGAGTGGATGCATCTCAGGAAGACTTTTATGGGAAGCTGGACCCTGTTTAGGTGTTACTAACATGAAGAAAACTTGGGAAACTCCACATGGCTAGCCTGTTGATGCCCGAACCCACAACTAACTATCTGCTAGTGTTTGATGATTTTATCCACTTAGCTACTGGATGGCACTTATTAGAATTAAGAAAGTAATGAAAAAAAACCAAGGCTTTTCACAGGCTTAAACTATATGCTACCTTTGCAGTAATGATGTAGTGTGTCTATTTCACACTATATCATTGTCACAGTAATTAAGTTAAATAATAATTTAAAAAAATATATATATTAGTTATATTTATAATTCTTACAAAAAAAAATTTTTAACTATATATATTGCAAATACAGAAGATGATGCTATGTGTAAATCCAGTAAATCGAGTGTAGATGGAAATTAATTGATTTATAAAAATCCAAAAATTTTGGGGTGGGATGTACTGTACAGTACAACATTATCTAAGTTAGAAGTATGTGAACATAATTGCTGAGTTTTGTAGCAGTTGATTGAATGGACTAGGAAGATAAAATAAGGAAATGTTAATTTTATTAAAGTTTCCATTATTAATAAAATACAAGCATTGTTAAATGATGGTCCATGTGGAATGGACTCAAATAAATCTGAATAGTTCCTTTTGGATCTTATATCATTCTGTAGAATATAATTAAGTTTCTTAAGATGGAAGAGGAGATATACTACTCACTCTTATTTTCTGAAAACTGATCAGAATGAATCAATGATGTTTACTTCTGGTGACTGTTTTGGCCAAGGAAGATGTTTAACTTCATCTTTATGCTCCACAACCAAAACTTAACTCTTTGAAATACAGTAAATTTTTACTTAAAAATAAAATTCAGTAAAACCCATTTCATTAAATAATAATGAACTTATCTTCCAGATTGAGCTCTAGTAATTTTTATTGTAGTAGTACTAGAAGTTTTGGATATAATCTTGTTCAACAACTGTGAATGTCTTTCAGTTAAAACCCTTTTACTCTCATAGCAATTACACCATTCATGTTACATTGTCTAACATATTGCTAAACATATTTTATAATTTACAGTTCCATAATTCTTAACTCTTGTCATATTATTTTATTTAATTAATTTGTTGTGTTGGAACTTTATAAATAATTATAATTTGTTTTTATTATTTAGATTGTTGGCATGATTCTCTCCTGTACCCTGTTCATGCTAATTAATTAGAGATACGAGTGAAACTTTCAGTTTGATTTCTAAAGTTTATTGGACATAAAGTGGTTTGTGCTTTCTATTTGAATTTTGTGATAAATTAATAAATCTTAGATTATTTGTTATAACCTTTTAATTCTCTGCATTTCTTATTGAACTGTAAAAGAATGAAACTACAGATATCATATATGCATCTTATATAATTTATATGTAAAAATTAAATTAGAAAAAGATTAAGATATAAATAGTGATCAAATTATATTTGTTAGAAATTTGTTGCAGAAATATTCCGTCCAAGCCTCAACTGAAAAATTGTCTTTCATTTACAGCATGTCTATTTTTGTTTTTTAATATAAAATTTTTATAAATTTTTATATTGTATGCTAACTTATAATTATGTTTTTTTAACATTCCAGTTAAAAATCCTGAATTTATTGTGGATATTTGTCATATACAGTGGAACCTCAGTATACGACCTTAATCTGTTCCTGTTGTTTGGACTTATACTGAATAGGACATATACCAAACCAACCTTTCCCATAAGAAGTAATGTAAAAATGATTAATCCGTTCTCATGTAAAAAAAAAAAATGGCTGGCTTTAACACCTCGCTTTCCTGGCTAGTTCCTGCTTGATTTTTCATGAGATCAGCATTATCTTTTTAGCTTTCTCACAAATAATTGCTTCTGATACGCTGTCTCCAGTACACTGTTTTTCAGTTATCCAAAGCAAAAGCAATTTCTCAACATGATCTAATGTCTTCGATCTCTGTTTAGAAATGGATTTAACCCCTTTCGCAACATTAGCTGATTTAATAATGTCTTTATTTTTCACGATTGTTGATATCGTCGTTCTCGGAATATGGTATGCAGCGTTAAAATCTCGAACACGCATACCACCTTCATATTTCTCAACAATTTATTTTATCAGTTCCATTGTGATCCTAGTCATTTTTTTAGTTTTCTGTTGCTTTCATTTGCCTTTTTGCAATTCATGATTAATAAAAGTAATAATACTTACAAATTAAAATCAGAAGAAATTTAACAAAGTTATAAACCGTTGCACTGCGAACGTCTGGTCTGGTCTAGTACATCAATAGTGCTACTTGTTCATAGATGGCGCGTATAATTGAATTAAGTCGTATACTGAGCAAAATTTGTTTCGTCCAAACAGGACGTATTCTGAATTGGACGTATTCTAAAGCAGACGTATACCGAGGTACCACTGTATATATAATTTTTAAAAATATATCATAAAACAAACAAAAGCAATATAACTTGAATTGCTAAATGCAGAAAGATATAATGCTTCCCAAAGAAGCTTTGTTTTTACATTAAATATTATATAACAAAGTTTCTTAGGAAACTAAGAGATGGATTTTTGTTAATCAGAGAATTTGTATGTTGTTCTACAATATATTAATTGTAATTTTCTAATAACAAAATTATCTTTAAAAGGAATATTGTTTTAACTACTGTCAATTTGCAACTTTCTGCATTTACCAGTTATTTTAAATAAAATAAGAACTTTTCTATTAAGTAGTTTCAGAAAAATAACTTATAACCTTTTTACTGAACTGTACTTAACAAATGTTTACTACAATAGAAGGCTTTTGTACTTAAAAATTAAATTATATTACTTCCACCAAACAAATTTAATTGTTTTTGATTATTTAATCAAGATTTTTTATTTAATCTAAATATATTTGATATTTATTGATGTTTTTGTAAATACAAAATGCTAGAACAGGCATGTTTCTTATTTTATATACAATATATATAGATTTCAATTTAAAAATATTTTATGTACAAATAACAATTTGTTTATGCAAAATGTAGGCTACAGTTTTCATGTAATGTGTGTTATGCTTGGATTTTTTTTCTACACTGAACAATGCAAGCATGCACAAATTTTATATTACACTGAATCTGTTTTTAAATAAAAATTAAAATTCTTTTAATTTTTATTTAGAATAGTTATGGTATTTATTTCTTAACAATGAAACACCATATTGTGTGTGTATGTGTGTATGTATATGTTAAAATGTACAATATTACTTATTTAAAAAAAATACTAAATAAATATTTACAAATTCTGATTGAAAACCATTGTGTTATTTTATTAATATTATGATAACTGAGTTGTTACACACTTGTATCTGTTACTGGTAAGGATAAATCTTCTGTTTCTTTTTCATTATCCTAGAATTAATTTTAAAATAAGTAATTTTAATAAGAGCATAATATAAATTAAAATGTATTAATATTAACCTTTTTTGAATCTGTTTCCTGTGGAATAATCTGAATATTATAATCAGGTAAATTGGTCTCCAGAGGACAAACAAAATCTTCCATGTCCAGCATGGATCTGTTTCGGAAACTGAGTCTAAAGTGTCTCTTTCGCCCTGCCTGTAGTACAGATTGCTTAATATACCAACTTAAACTAACTGTAAGTTAGAAGAAAACTGACCTTGATTTTAGCAGTTGGTGTGAGGATGATAAAACCGGGTTTGTTTTCAGAATCTCTCTTATTCTGCATTACTTCACTGCCTAAAAGTTCTTTAAAGCGAAGAGACAGATGTCTTCTTAGAAGTGTCTTAGAAGAAGGTATATTGAGTAAAGATGCTAAAAGATCCCCATTAAAACTATTTTCATACACCTGAAATTATACAAAATTGGAAGAGTACAGTAGAGTGTCATTTATCCGAAAGCCAATCAACCGAAATGTCGGTTAACCAAAAGCATTTCAGTTGGACTGTGTCATGCTGAATTGAACGTTTTTGATACTAGATTAACTTCCAAAATATCATTTTTGTTTTTATATTTTTCAATATATTTATTTTGTTTGTACAAAATAAAGAAATAATTTTTAATGATACAATAGCCCTGATTATTATTTTAAAAAATTTACGTTAGGCTTAACATTGATGAAAATTCAACGCGAAGTGACATGCAATGGAGAAAAATTTCAAGATGGGATAGGTTAATATACTTTTTCATACATAATCAATTATCTGAACAACCCCAGTCCCCAATTGATTCGGATAAACGATGCTCTACTATAGTTAAATATTCTAAATTCATTTTATATTTGACTATGAAGGAAGCTTGCTGTATGCCAGTTACAATTAATTTAGAAACATCAAGGGAAGGCATATCTAAAAACTAAACAATAACAGTGCAACTTGCTGCTTTTACTCTTACAAGGGAACTGTCGGAGTGTCTTTTAATAAATTTTAATAAAATTTAGTTAATAACTACATTAAAAGTATACAAACTCTATTTTAAATTTGTAGCATTCACTAAAAGTGTTGATCAGAGTTATTAGCAATCAAATGTTGCACTACTTTATAGTAGTTTAACACAATTATGCAAATTTTTAGAAGTGAAAGGGTCGCGGAGGAAGACGGCGATATTACATTTAGAATAAATTCTGGAATTTTCAAAAATGGTTGAAGAATTAATAAAATTTTGTATACTTTTAACATAATTATTAACTAAATTTTATTAATTCTTCACCCATTTTTGAAAATTCCAGAATTTATTCTAAATGTAATATCGCCGTCTTCCTCCGCGACCCTTTCACTTCTTAAAATTTGCATAATTGTGTTAAACTAGTATAAAGTAGTGCAGCATTTGATTGCCAATAACTCTGATCAACACTTTTAGTGAATGCTACAAATTTAAAATAGAGTTTGTATACTTTTAACGTAGTTATTAACTAAATTTTATTAAAATTTATTAGAAGACACTCCGACAGTTTCCTTGTTAGTATAGTATAATATGCAATAATACCATTAAAGCTCCATGGACACCACTTCCTCTTAAATTAGGAGCATATTCTGAAAGATCAACAGTTTTCAACCATTCCATAATCCTGTGATTTGTCCATCTAATAATTAAGTTTGCTGAGATTTCCTGAAAAAGTTTTATTTTAAAAAATTGCATTTAATGTGCCAACTGTTCATTTAAAGTAATGGTTTACTTCATTTGGAACTGATCTTCTTATCAAGCAAGAAGGATGAAAATTATATCTTCTCAGCATTTGAATGCCTCTCTTGATACTGGTGAAATGTAATAAATTTGTTACTTTTAAAGTAATCAAATCTTCCTGTAAAAAGAAGAGAAAGCATTTAATTCTTGACATTACGTAAAAGTAACAATGATCACAATAATTGATAATTACAACAGTGAGATAGTGCAAAACCCTTCCGTCTATACGAGCTTCAGCAAATATATCTTTGTACTGTGGCAAGCCAATATCATCTAACCAGCTAATTACCCAATGATAATCTAACTGTCCTGCTATCTCGTCCAGTCCTCTGCTTTCAGATCCTATTGTCTGTAAAGCTAGTCGAAGTTTCTTACGGTGCAGACTATTTTTGATTTTTAATTCCTGTTTAGTATTAAGTAACATTCTTTTAATTAAATTATCTTCTAATCAAATTAACATTAATAAAATTTTTAAGGATTCACATGTACTTTTTCTAGGTTGGCATTAGTTGCCTTTAATAACTGATCACCATTTTTGATCCATTTTTTGCATTCATTACGATACATTCCTAGACCAATTTCGTCCATCCATTCGACAACTGTGTCAGTATCCCAATTAGAGAAAGGTACACCAATTCTAAAAATTAAAAAAATTCTATTGAAATTATCAAAAATGACAAGAATCTAATAGACTTCTTGTTAATTTTTTTCATTGTTATTGGAACCCATGAACACAAGCACACTATTAATGAGTTAGTGTCTTGGAAAAAACTGATAGAAACTCACCCTTCTACAGTGAATTTCATTTTTGTTTTGGGGCTGGAAAGAGTTTTGTATATAGAAAATGACAATTTTTAATTAAAAATATTCTACCTTCATACTTACATTGGATCAGTTGTGAGAGAAGGTGACCATTCTTTGTTTAACCTGTCTAAAGTTTGTTCATTTTGATTTAATTTTGAAAATTTATCTTGTTTTGCTCTAATAAATAAAATTTTTGCTGTTATTCAACATATATATATATATATAATAATAGTAGATGCAGTGTAAATAATATATTAATACCTGCCAAATAACTTTCTAAAACCTTTTTTTTCCTTTCCAACTGGTACAGGACTTGTGGGTAAAGATGAATAACGACTTCTAGAACTGCGCATAGAGGCTCTTTCATCGAAGTCTTTCATTTCACATTGTGCTATTGAAAATTAAAGTTTTATTGTCATTTAATATACAGTACTTAAAAGCAGGGCTGGAGTCGGAGTCGGGGGGAATTTCTGGCAAGAGGAGTCTGAGTCAGAAAAATGTGTTGACTCTGACGTTTTAAATTTATTTTAGTTTTTTTATTTAAATGAAAGAAAATTTATTATATATTTATTAATTTTTAAAAATGTTTTTGTATTTTGTTGTAATTCATT